TTCACTCCCATGATTCTTATTCCAACAAATGCAGTTATTTTCGGAAGTTGTAGCCCAATTTTCACGGTTCTACCCCAACCCGGTTAACACCTCAATTCCTTGATTTCTGACACACGAAGTAAGTAATGTTTTGGCAAACCACATCTGTTCAGGTTTTGAATGAGTATTTTACTGATTTTTATCTAGTAATTAATTAATATTTCTTTCAACTGTTTGCCCTCTCACCCCACCCCTCCGCTTTCCCCATTCACAATTCATCTCTATCAAATTGTGGCCATACCATCTCACTGCCAATTTCAAAAGTCATTCACGAAAAATTACTGACTGATCTGCGATCCGGTTGATTAGGTCGTCCGTAAGAACATTCATGTCACGGGCGCCAGTATTGTGCTACTGTTCACCAGCATACCAGAACAAACAATTCATGGTTCCAAATTGATGGTTTTGATCCACACCGTAGAAAAGTCCCCTAGTCTGCATAGCAGCAGGATCAGAAATCATCTTTGCACTTGTGATTCCAATCTCTGNCCCCCCCCCAAAAAAAAAAAATGAATGAAATGCAGGTGCAATTTGGTACCAATGAAGTTACCACGAGAGTGAAAACGGTCCAAACACACAAACATGGTTTGCATGCATATGTAAGATAACTTTAATAATTGACTTGAAGTTAGCACTTTGCAGAGTAGAAACCAGTTACAGCATACCGCTGGGTAGATGTTTGTTTTGCATGATGTTAGCATTTGGGGCGCCATTTGACCGGCTGCGTTACACTAATCTATCTCTCACTGTTCGTACCGTATGGGGATTTGTCTCTCAGTGATTCAGCTGTGTACAGTTGTCTACTTGTTTTATCTTTTTAAAAACAAAACTATGCGTTCTGCTGATTTGTATGAGTGCATAAATACAAACGGCAAGAGTAAGGATTGAAAATATAACTTTTTGTCTCAATTCAAGCAAACTTTACCTACCAGATAGGCTAGATCCATAACCAAAAACGGCACAACACTCTGAAGAAACTGGCACATTGATACATTACCTTCAATCGAACTTTTGAGGCCACCTCCAAAGAATTGAAAGTAGGTAATTTAACTGATACCAATAAATTGATTATCGTACGATTTCCTCTCTATCTCTGCCTGTCTCACCCCTCCGAAAACTTCGTAAAGGTGGTCAAAACTCTGGAAGTTCAACGAGACGGAGAACTCTATTTGGACCCTCAAGTTCTAGTCATTCGTGATATAGATACCCCGGAGGAGCGTTTAACCGTCCAATTCGAACGATTGCCCCGCTACGGACAGATTCATATTCTACCCGATCCGTCTAAATCGAATGTGAGTGAACTCGGTGCCGTGGGCAGAAAACTTCCGGTTCGTTGGTTCAATCAGGGACAGATAAGGTGAGATGGGGGTGTTTATATCTCTTCGCTTGGCAGTATACTTGTTCTTGTGACATGTACCGGTTTGCATCACTGTACTCCCTGCTCAGTCTGTTCAACTTCACTCACTACTCATCTGAGAAAAAAACCTTATCACCACTATTGGCGTTCTTGTCACCGCCCAATAGTTCCACCATCGCAATTGAGCAAACCTGGTCATAATGCAGTTCAGTGAGTGTCAAGTCGAGTCAAAGTAAGGTTTATGCACCCGGAGGGAATGTTAACAAAAGTGACTAATCCATCACCTTTTTTATTGAAGTTCACAATCCGATCGTCTTCAAAGATATCAAATCCATCAAGCGGGAAAACACAGTCCTCGATTTCAGGATGTAATCAACTTTCCTGGAGCATAGTAATTCCAACGTTTTTGCACACTTTTTCCTGTAACGCGGTCTTGACTTCATTAACTTTTCTCAGAAGTGAAAGAATGTTACTGGAAATAATAATGAGAGTAGTCAGTCTGTTGATGGAACGCCGCCTGAGAGGGACCTTCCAAACAAACTGGTGTTTTATTTGTTGTCCTTGTGCCTTCTTCCTCAGTCTGTTGTAGCGATTTCACACACAATGGGCAAAACATGAAAATTAGTGTTTACGTGCGATAAAACGAGGGGAGATCAAAAACATACGGCCGTAGGGCAGCATTTGACCTTGCGAATTGAATGAATTGATTCGATAAAATATGTTGAGGATAGAAGGCAGTGTTCTACTGTAAAATCGCGAAAAAATCAGGTGATAGCTTTTGGCACGGCTGAATTCAAAAGTTCCGCCAGCACTTGATCGACTTAATCGTTTCGTTTTTAGATCCTTGCTTCTATGTCCGGTTGCATTTTTAGATTACACAAGCAATTCCCAGATTGCCTACTTATCGGATTGTCCAGTACTGTCCTTCAGATCATCTCTCTTGGTCTGACTTAACCGAAAAAGCTAAATAATACACAAATGTGTATTATTTAGCTTTTAGAACTTTGAGCTTCACATTTTGATCTACCCTAATCCTCTCTCAATCTCATATCTAGTTTGCGAAACAGCCTGACGGGGAAACCGTTTCGAATGTGAGCGGTTTTACTCGCTGGAAGCTGCATGAGACCAGTGCACTTTGTCAACCACTGTGTGTTTTGATGTGATTTGTGGGAAAAACCTTTATTGTACACCAAGAACTTGGATGGGAGATTAGCTGTACGAAAATTCAGTTATTTTTTTCATACAGATCGTCCCTTTTCACAGATCCAAGACTCCTTGGAAAAGTTGGGCTTTTTGGAATTCAGAAAAGTTGGCACCTAAACGGGGCAGAAAATATCATTATTTCCGTTCTCGATTTCCTACCATTATCAGTGTATTGCAGGCGTGTGCCAATTGTTGTCGGCTTCACTCCTAACACTTGTTCAGCGAAATGGTACTCGTTTGCAGAATAAAACTGTTGTATTGTAAGGGATTGAAACAGCTCCTGATAACTGTTTCAACTTGGAATAATTCTGCCTATATACAGATCAGAAGGGAATGTGTGTATTGGCGATCACGGCATGCCAACCGACTTAAAAGACATTCCTGGGTGTTTTTCATTTTACATTCTACATTTCCGTCTGTTAAACATACAAAGATACAATTTTCAGGAAGGGGGCAGCTGCCATTCAAAGAGTTACCATTCAATACTCAAATGGGGAAAGTCAGGCGGTGGTGGTGGGATTCGAACACACATCCCCGGGGTGATAATTTGTTGACCTTACCACCGGGCCACCACCGCCCGGATATGTCACTGTTAACTTTTATTCGAGGAAAAGTAGTTCGACTAACCATTCAAGTGATTATTACACACAAGCTAACCGTAGAATATGTCGATAGATATGAGCTGTTGGAATTGAGTAAACTACTTACAATGTGCAAAAACCATTCATCACCTGTAGATATTTAGAATGATTATCACACAGAGATATTCACCGAATATTTGTCAACTAAATACCATTCATATATTAGAAGTTAATAGATCATCCCACCTGATTCCACAATTTACATATAGTATGCAACCGGTAGTCCTGCCCATCTGAATATTGAATGCACCGGGAATCAACAAAACGAGAGTGCTTGGAAAAAGACTTCCAGGTTGTTCAATTCTGGCAGCTTAGGACAGGTCATTTAATTTGACCAGCCACGTTTGTCCCCATATTCTTTCAAGAAATTAGCTTAAGAGGCACATGGAATATGGACTGGCGCCATCGGTCTAAGTGACTGCCTCTTTGACAACGCTCAATCATTCCACCGGACGCCAGCCACATTTACCGACACAAAGACGCAACTGGACATATGTCCTTGGCTCTGTGTCAACAGCCTTCATATTAGGTCTTTGTTCGTAACATTCTGTTCAGAGAGCAAATATTGAACAACTGTGTCGATATAGTTCAAGGTTTCGGGGCTGTAGACATGAACAGTTGCGGGGGGGGG